TAATTTTCATATAGACCCGTGCAATAAGTAAACGAAAAAAGCACGGGTTGTTACATAAGACCCGTACGATAATATTAAATATTACATTTATCACTTAGTAAGTTAAAATTATTTATCATTTTAGTAAATTTACATAAATTTTTTATCAAAAGGTATCCTGGATCTTTTTCCTACGTATCTTAAAGATCTTAAAGATATTAAAAAACAAGCTTTATTTTCAACAGGTATCTATCCTTTAATTCAATCGATTTCGCAGTATTTAAATGAAAAAATGTCTAAAACAATATTTATTCCCATATTTTCAGATGAAATCGATGTAACAGCAATTATGGTTAATGTTGTTGCTATATTTGGCGGTACATTATTTGGATATCGTTCTCAAAAGCTCGGACGCAGATTTATGATTATTATATGCATGCTTATAGCAGGAGCATCCCTACCATTATATACAATGGTTATTAATCGCGTTACATTGATTTATGGTTCCTTTTTTGTATATTTATTTATTCATGTAAGTATAGTTTGTTTCACTTAAAAGATTTATCATTATTTTTATTAATCAGGGTGCCTGGAGTATTATGCCTGCTTATTTGATTGAATTATCACCACCAAATTTTCGTGCAACATTTTCGGGATTGCCATATCAATTAAGTTGCTTGATTGCCAGCTCATCAGCTCAAATTTATGCAAAACTAGGCGAAGCTTTTACTATTAATGAAAATCCTAATTATGGGTTGGCTATTGCAATTTTTTCCGTATGCAATATTGTTGGTGTAATCATATTTCTCTTTGGTGGAGAAGGTAGAGATTTAGATCTGATGAAACATGTAAATGACAGTGAATTACAAAATAGGAACGCTAATCAGATAAATAAAATAGTTTGATCTTAAATTACTATGAAATGTTTTTTATTAGATATTTTTCAGACATTCCTTATCAGAAGATCGTCTAAAGTAATGCTTCTCAGGATTGGGCAATCGGACAGGTGGGTTGTCCGATGAAATTTAAATTTCTAAAATTGTAAAAATTTTTTTTTTAGAAATAAGAAACCCTTGTTCAGAGTCAAGCAAACCAAATAATTAGGACAGTAATGTACTGTCAATTTTTTACACTATATATGTTAATAGATCAATGGACACCGGGCAAATGAGCAGCTGTCAATAGAAATCAAGCAGATTGACATTTTAAAAAAAATTCATGCCTTAATTTAACTACTCATATCGTGATGAATTTCGAAGCTGTCATCATAATTTAGTAGTAAAAAGAAAGCTAAAGATCTAGGCTTTCTTTTTACCATTAAATTATGAGGACAACTTAGAAATTCACCGAGATATGAGTAGTGCTCCGATCGGGTCAACCCAAAACCAACCCGATATGATCCACCTAATAGATTTATTATAACCGGGTTGGTTTCGGGTTGTTCGGATCAACCCGATAAGAACACTAGATATGAGCAGTGAAATTTAAGGCATTAAATTTTTTTTAAACCGTCAATCTACTTGATTTCTATTGTTTTGCAGCCCACATTAAGTATGTCCAGTAAATTCATCAGACATAGAGGCTGCCCAACCTAGATGCTTTTACCATTCTTTAAAAGCAACTCGTTTGTTTGACTCGAGTTTGCAAATTGCGAATTTTAAATGTTAATATAAATAATAGTGATTGAATAAATAAACTATTGAATTTAAAAGATTAAAATTTTCTATTCAAAGCTATATTATAGGAATTAATAAATTTAATATTCTTAAGCCTTCGCTCCAGCAATCCAATCAAATACACTACAATTTTCTTCTCAACAAATTGCAAGAATAAAAACATTGCAATATTTTTTGTTACATTTCATCTAGCCAAGTTCTTAAGGACACGTATGCCCAGATTTGCGTGAAATTACATAGAAATACTGTCAACCATCTATATAACGGAAATCTGGGCTGAAAAAATCACCAACATATGGCCTTTTATTATTAATTCGTTACAATGTATTAAAATTTGGTTCTTCGCAATTTATCCATTAGACCAATAAATTCGGTCTAAGGTGTCCATTATATCAGTAGTTACTGTAGTTTCTTTTTATTTTATTTACAAAAATTTATATGCCCAATTATCATGGGTCTTGATGGGATCGGATTTTAAACGGGTTGTTCAACATAGTCCTGTTCAATTATACAACAATAATGATATTATTATTGGTAAAATCTGTAAATACCTTTCTAATAATCTGATA